TCATATTCTTGAGAACACAGAAGAAGGACCCAGTTGAAAATAGCTAACCCCAGTCTAGGAGCTCTACACGCGCTAAATCTTAATCTTCACAAGAACTCAACAAAATACATCATATTCTCTCCTTTCCACAGGTGAGGGATCTGAAGTACTCTGGGAGTCTCTGAAAGGCCCACTACGGCATCAACCGGAGAAAGCTCCAGGCTTAACCACGTGCCAGGCTCACCCTCTCAGAGGAGAGGATGAAGAAGAGAGTGGTGTTACAAAAGGCAGCAAAGAGTAAGTTAAGAAGAGACGGAGGGTGGGCTTCAGCTAGAAGAGTGCCTCACTCTTTTCGCTTGGGGAAAGAGAAAGGAACCGAGTTTGAATGCCCGACCAACTCTTATCATCCCTTAAAACTCAGCTCAACTATCACCTATAACGGGAAGTCACTGACAACGGTAAAAATGTGGCTATAAACCAGTGACAGCCCTTACTGGGGGCGTGCAGGAAGAGTGAAATGGGTAGAGACCAGGAACAGTCTTGAGGATGGGAATGGCAGGGGAGGAGCTCCGGGAGATGACAGAATCCAAGGACTCAGATCAGGTGTCACACATGAACACCAGCTTGGGGCTTCGTCAGATGACTGTAGCAGGACAGCAGAACCAAGTTCTGAGAGTCTAGATGAGACTGTAACTCCAGTAATTAGCTATGGGCTCCCGATTTGACATGGAAGATGCCAGAAATGGGCTGTAAACTGGAGACAGGGGGAATGGACACTGTGGCGATCAGAGCCACCGCGGTGAGAAACTCAAAAGTTGATTTACAACAAAAGAGGGCAAATCTAATTGAACTGGGAGAATAAGACAGGTTTCTCCCAAGGAAATACCCATCTCTGTCTACTCTGTGGTCTCCTCCTTCCCTACCACCCCTCAGCTGCTAGACTTGCCTGAGCGCCTGTCCTCAGCCTCCTAACTCCACTCACTGCTTCCAGCACCCTCACTCATATCCAGGGCAGAGCTCCCACCTAACCACCCACATCCAGTTCAGCGTCCTCTCTCCAAATGCCCCCCTGGTATCTCTAACTGCACACTACACAGCCCTGCACATTAAATGCGGCCACTGCTGAACTCGTCTTTCCCCCACAACGAGCTCCCCCTTTTCTGCACTCCCCTACCTTAATGAATGGTAACACCATCTGTCCATCCAGAGCCACCTTCAACCCTTCTTCATCCCTCAAATCCAACAAGTTTTATTTATGGTTATTTTTCTAAGCTTTTATTTATTTATTTATTTTTTATTTGGCAGAGTATAAGCAGTGGGAACAGCAGAGGGAGGGGGAGAAGCAGGTCCCCTGCTGAGGGACTCGATCCCAGGAGCCTGGGATCATGACCTGAGCTGAAGGCAGGCGCTCTACCACCTGAGCCACCCAGGCATCCCTCAACAAGTTTTATGGACACAACCTACCTCCTCACACATCTTCGGAATCTTTCTTCTCTATCCTGTTCATTCTCACTGCTACTACCTTCGCTGGAGCCTTCAGCATCTCCCACTGGACTCTATTCACTCTGCCCCTTCTGCCGACCACCCTCTTGTTTTGATGTAAATCTCTCTGTCCCTTAGAATCTCCTGGGAATGCTTTAAAAATTCAGATTTCTGATGCCCACATTAGCCCTTCTCAATCTGTCTGTCTGGGGATGGGATCTGCAATATGGACATTCAGAAAGCTCCACAGTTGATTTTTTTTTTCCTAGCTAGGACTCGGGCAGCATTTGGAAACACTGCTGTCACCACCACCAATAACAGCACACCCCCACCCCGTCTTCCTTCCCCCAGCAACGTAAAGCATTCCTTAGTGCTCTAGATCATTACCTCCTCCTGCTTCTCTGGACGTTGGTCTATCATTCATTCCTATCTGTGTTCCTGAAGAGGAGGAACCTCAGCCATTCCTCTACCTTCTCCCCTAGCTCCTCTTCTCCCTCTTCAGGTAGATGATTTCACCACACACCTCTTAAACTGCTCAGTCCAGCCATGACCAACAATACTCTAATTCACCACCTCCTGCCTCTTTTCCAGGCCTGCCCAGGCTCTGCTGCTCTCACTGGCCCTTGGATGCACCTAACTTTGCATGCCTGACAAACTCTTACTTACCCTCAAAAATCAGCTCAAATATCACCTGCACCAACAACTGTGCCTCTCCCTTAACCAGCCCATACCCCATCAATAAACCCACAGCACCAGGCAGACAAGTTGTTTCACTTCTTTTCTACAATATTTCCCCACTAGACAATGAACTCCTTGAGGGTGGGAACTAAACCTGGAATACATTAGACATACAATTAATGTTGGTTAAGTCTATTGTTACAGAGTGAATATACTGTGAAGTGACTAAGTAATGGGAAAAACTTATAGCAAGTATAATAAATGATACATCTATTACTTAACACATAATTAACTGATGCACTGGTCTATAAGAAATCTAAAATAAGTCCTGAATATGTTTCCCATACACTTTTATCAAGCTATAATTACATGACTAGATAGACAGCAATACAGTTTCAAAGACATAGTCACAAACACCCTATCCGTGATTTAACGCCCTGGCAGCCCCAGCTTTCTTCAGTGCCTTGAAAATGCACTGCTATGCCTGTTTCAGTCTTTGTGCTTGCTGTTCCCTTTCTGCAAAATGTACATTTTTCAACAAACTCTGATGTGGCTGGGACCTTCACACCACCTGGGTCTCAGCTCAAGTATCATGTTCCCAGATATCTTCCCTGACCACACTTGCTGAAGCAGGCACCCCCATAACCTCAATCTCCATACCATTATGCTCGTATTGTCTTCAGGACTCTCATCACTATGGGAAATCACTCTGTTTGTTAATTACTTGACGCTGGTTTCCTTTACCCGGTTTACCTCCTCATCCTCTGTACACAAACAGTGTGGGGCCTACATGGGTACCCAATAGACACCTGTTGAATAAATAACTGAGAGGAAGGCAAATGTAACACTAAAACACCATTATCTACCAGTCATATAATGAGGGACATATGCAGGTGGTAGGAAATGGCAGGGACTCTTTCCCTTGAAAAGACAATGTTCGCTCATCATCCACAGGGTCGTGGGCAGGCGGATTATCCTTCCCGGAATACTTACTCAAAATCAGAACTTTGACTTACCAAAGAGCCACACAACTTGCTAAATAAAATCACTTCCTTCTCAGTGGACAGCCTTGCCAGGAAAAATTTTAAAGCAGATGATTGCTCACACCCAGTCTTGCCAAAGACCAGTCCTGGAAAAACTGTCCAACGTCCACTAAAGGAACACAAGGGACCGAGATTTGTTCAACACTGAAATCCCAGCAACTAGCAGTTTCTAGCCCATAACAGATGCTCAAAATGTTTGTTAAATGAGCGCATGAGACATGGCCTTCTGAGGAATAGCCATCCCATCAAGTCTTACCCTGAGGATACACTTATTTGAAACAGGTCAAGACGGCTGAGGAGAAGCCTTGGCCTACGCCTCTTCCTGGGCAGGAGTTCGGTTCCTCAAACTCAGTACTCATCAACCCTGTGCCTTAGGTGATCAAGTATGACCTTCCCCAGCATCACCATGTATCAAAGCAGAATAAACTTTGCCAACACAATGACTACTACAGTAACCAGTAACCTAGCAATGCAGTAGAGTAACCTTTTAAATTTTTTCATGTATTTTGGTCAGAGGGAAGGATAGTTCAAATGGCTGAAATAACTAAAATGGAAGATTCGACCATTAATTTTATATCCACCAGTGTAAGGGTCACTGCGTGATCCCAAGAAAATCACACCACCTTCCTGACCAGCAGTGCCAACAGTCCTACGTTCTTTATGCAAAGAGTAGTCTGGGGAAGATTAACTAGCCAGTAGATGTAACCTACTCTAAGGCCAATGAGCGAATCGAATTAATTATGAAACAAGGGAAATCATAAATATTCAACCCACTCCAAAACCTGAGAGTGAGGAAGATTTAAAATTATGCTGTGTCTCTGATAGTCACCCTCAGCCTAAGACCTGTATTCTCGGAAAAGGCTTCTAACAATAACAGTACATCTTTAGTATTTGGAAATGTCAACTGCTTCCATACCTGGGCATGATTAAGTTCTCACGTGGAGAGACAGGAAGTACTAACAGGGACAAGCAACTGTAAATTATGCCTGTTCAAAACAGTTCACTGTTGCTGTCCCAGTGCCGAATCTCACTGCTGTTTACTTAACACACAGGCCACCTTACCAAGAGTCAACTGAAAAATTTCAGGGAAAAAAATAAAACTGTCTAAAAGGCTAGATACACTTCTTCTCCCTCTACCTGCTGACCACCACTGACATTCGAGTGAAAGATGACGGCAACATCCAGCAGCAATGTCCGCACTTTCCTGCCAAACGACTTAACTTCCTTCCACTTTAATATACTTTCATCAGTTTGTATTTGTCTAAAAACTCTTAAGGGAGACGGAGGAAGAAAGAAATCTAAGGAAACCTGAGGGGTCGGTTCCCGAAACAGAGGTTGGAAATTTGCAACTGGGGGAGAGCCAGTTCGGTCCCTCTGTAGCCTAAATGGAGCAAGGTGACTGGGAAGGGGGCAGGCTTCCAGCATCTGCTCCACCAGGACAGCCCCTTCTTTCAGCCTGGCACACGCGCCGCTGAGCACAAGGGGTCGAGCCCGGAGAACACCGGGACACCCAGCCCGACCCTAACTGTCCCTCCCGCCTGCAGCAGCCCCTGGAACACGTGAGCATCGCACCTGGGGTTCATAGGCGGGGGCCGGGGCTGACGGCGGGACTCAGTCCGCACTTGCCCCTACAGGCTGAGGTGGGGGAGTGTCCGCTGCCCCTCACGGGAAGGAACCCCTAAGATTCGGGCGCGGGCATGGAGGGTCGGTCCCCAAACCTCCTGCAACCCCGAGGGTCCCCGCTGCCCCCAGGCTTCTCAAAGAGGTGCCCAGGGTCGCGCGTAGGGAACAGCCAGGATGGCGGCAGCCGGTACTCACAAAGCCCACTGGAGCCGGTGCTGGTGAACATGGTCCCGCCGGACCCGGAGCCCCCGTGGGGGGACAGGGGGAGGGGAAGTGGAGGTGGAGGGACCCCGCGACCGCGCAGGCGCACTCCCGGCGTGGCGGCGAATCCGGCAACTGGATTCCACTCCAGGGGCTACTTGCGAGCGGCGCATGCGCAGCCCGTGGGACGCGCCGCTCCGCCCGCCCCCTCCCTTCCTGCCTGGGAAGGGAAGTCGGTCCTCAGTCGGAGGGTTCCGTCTGTCCGGGTTTTCCCGACTGCTGCGGGTCTCCTTTAGAAAAGCAACTGGGGAACTTCGTGGGAGGAGCGGGAGTATAACTCCTGGAAGCAGCACGTGGGGTCTCAGCGCCACTCCACGACCAGTGGAGTCGGCGTGACAGCTGATTCCTCGGGAGTGCCGGCGTGGGGGCATTCCTCGTGACCTCTAACCTCTCCGCGGACGGGACGCCCGGCGCGTTCCACGCATGCTCAGTCTTTCTGGGCAGCCCCCTGAAGCTCGCTCCCCAGAGGACTGTTGACAGTAACTATCCGGGGTTCTGGTTCCCCCCCCCCCCCCCACGGTGCGAGAGGCCGCTCAGTCGTCGAGAGCTACGCCGTCCAGCCCTTTCCTGCGTCGATCCCTTGCGGAATCCCCTGAGGCGGCTTGAATCGTGCTCCCGGGACCCCACCCTTCCGCACCGCGCCGGCAGGTGGTCAGATCCCAGGGGAGGCGAGTCTATGGCTGAGCGACCTTGTTCCCCAAACTTCTGCCTTAGCGGCCTTCCAGACCGAGGCATTTCATTTTTTTCCCCCTCGCAAAATGAGATTAATCTTTACTAAGGCAAAGTCATGTTTTTTTTTAAATGAGTTTGAGCCTGAGAACTTTAATTTTATATTATGTAGTTATTAAAGAATACGTATTGTAGGGAAATCAACCAACTAGAAGGCTAAATGAAAAGGACAGGCTACACAGCTGTATGGCATACTTTGAAAAGAAAATACTTTTGGAGTGTTTGTAAGGGCCAGGCACTGAGTGAGCTAAATCTGGAATTTGTGGATCAATAAAACACAGTTCCTGCCTTGAAGGAGAGGAGGGAGTTACCCAAAATTTTATCACTGATTTATTGCTAGAGGACAAAAGCATAAGTGACTTATTTTCCTTAGGCTTTTATTTGTTTTACAGAAGCTATTGGTTGGCAACAAAACCCTTAGCCAACATAGGTCACTGGTTCTCAAAGTAGATGTGGCTACCCCACCCCAGTTTAGGGATTCCAGAAGGCCAGAACTATTTTCATAATTGTAGTGAGATATTTTTTTTAATACTTTATTAATTTATTTGACACAGATCACAAGTGAGGACTCCTCACTGGTGCCAAGACCAACGTTAATGATGCCCCCGTGCCCCAGCCAGTAGATTCCAGCCTCTCCTTTTATTTTTTTTTTTAAAGAATTTATTTACTTATTTGACAGAGATCACAAGTAGGCAGAGAGGCAGGCAGAGAGCGAGGGGGAAGCAGGCTCCCTGCTGAGCAGAGAGCCCGATGCGGGACTCGGGACTCGATTCCAGGACCCTGAGATCATGACCTGAGCCTAAGGCAGAGGCTTAACCCACTGAGCCACCCAGGCGCCCCCTAAGACATTTTTCTTTACTCTTATTCACTCAGGAAAATATAATGGAGTTTCCCTCTGTGCATTTGGAAGGGCTGTATAACTTAGTGAACCAACATTCTCCACTTGATCAGTGCATCCTGTTACAAAATCATGGGTGGGTAAGATCAATGCAGACTGCAAGATACACTGATAACCTTTTAGTGTAACAGTACAAAAAGCTCATTGATAGGGCTTCAGATTTCTCTTCCCAACTAATCTTTAAGAAACTACTGCTTGTTAAGTTATGCTGTAGTATCAGAAAAAAGTCCATATTATCTGAAATGACTATTAAGAAGCTTCCTTTTCCAACAACAAAATCCTGTGAGGCCAGATTTTCTTCATGTATTTCAATTGAAACAATGTATCACAACAGACTGAAAGCAGAAGCCAATAGGAGGATCCAGCTGTCTTCTATAAAGCCAGATCTTAGACATTTGCAAAAAAATGTGCAATAATGCTATTTTCCTCCATAATTTTTTGCTTGGGAATGTGCCACAATTTTCACAAAAATATATTAGTTATATTAATGTGCAGTGGGTCTGTTATTTTTAAATGAATTCCAAACAGTTTTTAAATTTTTCTGTCTCAATTAATTTCTGTTTCTAATAGATATTACTCATGTTAGCAAAAGCTCTGTAGTTCTCGATTATCTTTAAGAATGCTAAAGAAATCCCAAGATAAAATGTTGGAGAACTGCTGAAATAGGAGATAAAGCACTTTGAAGTTTAGAAAAAGACAAAAAAAAACCCATTCACTTATTTATATTCAATTCTGCAACGTTCTTAACTAATTGCACAGTAATTTAATACGGTACGCAGACCTTGCTTGAGAGTATTTTCAGGAATCTGTACCTTGAGTGTACTCTGCACTCGGAACCTGGACATATCAACTGGTAGAAAGCTGTAGGTTTGTCTTCTAAGAAGCAAGTATTGTCCTTGCATGGGCAGCCTCGGCTTCATCTGGGATCTTGTTTGGACTAGAAAGTGCCAAGCCCTATTCCCAAACTTATTAAAGCAGCATTTAGCAAGACCTTCAGGTGATTTGTATGCAAAAGTCTGAGAAGCACTAGTGCAGTGATTCTCAACAGGGGGCAGTCTGGGGACTCCAGAGGACACTTGCCAATATTTGGAGACATTTTTGGTGTTACAGTTATGAGAGGGGCCCACTAATGGCATCTAATGGGTAGATGGGATGCTGGTAAACATCCTACAAATACACAGGGCCGCCTCCCACAATGAAGACTTCTCCTGTGCATCTGAGTGGCCCAGTGGGTTACATATCTGATGCTTGATCTCAGCTCAGGTCTTGATCTCAGTACAAGTCCCACATTCAAGCCCAGTGTAGAGCCTACTTTAAAAAAAAAACAAACAAACTGGGCGCCTGGGTGGCTCAGTTGGTTGAGCAACTGCCTTCAGCTCAGGTCATGATCCCGGACTTCCAGGATCGAGTCCCGCATTGGGCTCCCAGCTCCTTGGGGAGTCTTCTTCTCCCTCTGACCTTCTCCTCTCTCATGCTCTCTCTCACTCATTCTCCCTCAAATAAGTAAATAAAATCTTTAAAAAAAAAAAACAACTGCCCAAAATATCAATAGCGTAAGGTTGAGAACTCCTATACTTGTGTGATTTAGCCAACGATTATCACACAATCCCAGAATGCTCAGTGTTTATCATTTCTAAAGTCCTTACCTGTGTTTCCACCTTGTCTCTTCTCTAGATTGTATTTTGGAGAACTAATTCTGTCAGTTACTAGGAATCATCATTTGCCTTGCCAAGTCTTGCTGAATCTGCTTTCTACATTGGGGTAGTAGTGGTAAGTTTGAAAGAGTAACCCGTAGCGGGCAGGGAATGTGTCTTACCAGATGTTGTTTCCTACCCATTTTGAGTCTACTGGTGTGAAGACATTGTCTTCCTTTCCTAAAATAAAACATAGCTTCTCTAAGGTTTTAGCATTAGAAAGCAGATCTCCAGAGGAGTCCTGGGGGAAGGTTGCTGACCAAGCATCCCTGACACAGCTTTTCCGGTAGATTTCAGCTTGCCTTTAGCACCATGTTTCTTTCATAGAGCAGAGCTAGAAAGAATTTTTCCTAAAGATTACTAACAGTAGAGGGGGCCAAGCACAACCAAATTAAGAACCGCAGACTTCCAAAGTACCAAGTTCTGATCATATGACAGCTATAGTACCCTTACCTTGTAAACCACATCCTGTTTCCATATTCTGGCTGAGGACCCCCTTTCCAAATTAGCAGGGATTGTAGTCAGCAGGAATCAGTAGATAATGACTAGGGTTGATGGTCAGTCCTTGGGTAAAGTAGCCTTTACACTGCATCAAATGCATTGTTAGCATATAATATCTACGAAACTAATAGTTATGAGGAAATAGGTCTGGAGGGTTTTTTTAGAGTACTTGCATCTTTGTACTCATTCAGTAATACTCATTATAGATATCTACCGAGCAGGGAGCATTTTGGAAATCTGTTAAGTGTATTTGGGGTTGTCACAATGAATTCAAGGAGCCTGCGTGGTGTCCAGTAAATGCCAGACGCAATCCTTTTACCAAAAAAATTTAATCGTTCTCTTTTCTAACTTGTGTTTTACTCTCCAACCTCATGTTTCTTATGTAGGTAAAAGTCTATTTGCATTTTTCTGAATCTAGAACCAATTTCATTTTACATGTAAACATGTACCTGGCAGAGTTTTAATTCATGCTGAATTTGCCAGGAATGCAACTAGTTACTGTTTCAGTTGTTATTTGGAACTTAATCAAGAGTTGTTCACCAGTTCAAAACACCATTCCACATGCAACAACTCTGCTTGTCTTTTTGAAGTCACCATCCCAATTTACACATGGGAACGATGCACTTAGTGATTCTGTATCTTTAAAAAAGATGTATAAACCTAGCCCTTATTGTAAAAAATACTATATATAATGTGAATATTAAGAAAAGGTGTTGAGACCCTGCCTCCGGCTCTCTGCTCAGTGGGGAGCCTGCTTCCCTCTCTCTCTGCCTGCCTCTCTGCCTACTTGTGATCTCTCTGTGTCAAATAAATAAATAAAATCTGAAAAAAAGAAAGAAAGAAAGAAAGAAAGAAAGGAAAAGAAAAAAGAAAAGGTGTTGAGAATACTCCGTTGAATATTTGAAAATATCCATATGCACAACATAGTTTTTTTTTCCAATTCATTTAGATGAATGAGCAAGGACCAATCCAATCCAATCCAATCCACCAAGATTAAGTGAATATTATATAAGGACACAGAGTTGGCAAAGGTAGAAACTTCAGAGAGAAAATTGTTTTAAAATACTTTGTTCTTTGATACTAACATGCAATTTTTGTTTCAATCAATGAGAAATACTGATATTGGAACATTACAAAGTGATTTGACATAGATATCATATGTACCAGAAATGTTTAAATGAAGCCTTTAAACTATAAATCAGTAAGATTAGGATTACTAAAGAAGAAGGAAGTATCATTTTTCAACAAACGTAGGTCATTTTAAGAGATGCTT